AAAATTAAATACAGTCCCATGTGGCATAATAATTTACGATTAACAAATTGTCTTATCTTAGATATACGAGAAAGACCTTACTTCTTTTATCTGTGTTTGCATAAATCAAAGTGGCAAAAGAAAATATTGATCTTCTTGAAATCCGTTGCCGCGATTTGCCGCGTCGCCGATATTTATCTTTTCGTGTAATCCCGTTTAAACCGTGCCAGATCTTTCGATGCGTAAATCGTAAATAAAGATGAAATGCTTGATCTATTATTTTTAGTCTACGCGGTACCGTTCGATTTAAATATTACTTTAATTTTTTGTTTTAATCTGACGTCAGACTTTCCCTGTGTGAAAATTTATCTCCTGTGACTGTTGCTCAGATGACGAGGTACAAACAGGCCGAATTCGAGGATGAGGACAGCAGCAGCATCGGCTCCGTCGCTCTAAATAGCGAAGGCATCAGTACATCCGCCACGCATATAAGATATCATACGGTATATATTTTCCGTGGCCCAATAATATTATTGCAACACTTTTAAATAAAATAAATAATTACAAATACAACTTTAAAAGTACAATTAAATTTAATTTCTATTCAACTCACGCGTTTAATCGAGAATATATTTATGTTGTTCGTCAAACGAGTACGCTTTTTAAAGAAGTGCAATAATTTTTCAAGACATTTTTATATTCTTCGAGAGATCAAGATTTTATTAAAAGTTATTGATATTACATTTGAAATAATGAAGCATGTGGCAAATATCGATCGATATGATATTTATCGTTGCAGGGTACAACAATGTGGAAGGCGAGAAGTACTTTGGAAAGATGCCTTCTCATAATTTGCGCTGTTCTACTGCTGACGATCGTGGTACTTGCCATCGTGATCAGCAGCAAAAACGGTTGGGAAGAGGCTCAGATTCTTCATGTCACCTCTCATGGAGAAGGTAAAAAATTATTATGATTATCTTATAACAGCTAAGACGTATAGCTCGGTCGGAGCGACAACTTGAATTATATAATACAGACTTATGCTTGCTCATTGTTTCCTATTACCGACAAAACTTAAAGAGCAAAAGCTTTAACTAGCAAAAAATAATGATGCAAGTGATGCAACTCGACTTCAGTTTGTTCTTTTCTTCTTATTTTTGAATTTTTTTAAATTTTTAATCACAGTTTTATTTAAACGGAGAATTATGATTATTAAAACGACAATCGATTTTAATTAATGCTAATCGAACGTTGGTACATTCAGTATCTCACTTATTGCTAACTTATTGCAGACGGCGCACATTGTCTCACGGAACACTGCGTAACGGTAGCAGCTTCCATAATAAATAGTATAGATTATTCCGTCGATCCGTGTGACGATTTCTACGAATACGCTTGCGGCGGCTGGAGGAAGAAAAATCCCATTCCAGACGGGAAGAGCGTTTGGGGCACGTTCGGCAAGTTGGAGCAGGATAATCAACTAGTCGTTAAGAATGTTCTCGGTAACCACTCATAAACGCGCATAATTAAATAAATCCAATCTCTATGCGCGTATCTGTTAAGTTGTCCTTGCATTTTCCGCATAGAGAAACCGCTCAGCGAGATGAAATCAAAGGCCGAGAAGAAGGCCAAGTATTATTATCTGTCTTGCATGGACGCGAATGAGACGATCGAGGCGCTCGGGGCTAAGCCGATGTTGGAACTGTTGGAAAATATCGGCGGTTGGAACATTTCCGGCAAATTTAACATCAGCGCGTGGTCCCTGCAAAACAGCATGCACATTTTGCAAATCGGTTACAACATGGGCGGACTGTTCTCCTGGGCTGTGAACGAGGACGATCGAAACAGCACTAGATACATAATCCAGGTATAAGCAGATTATCATAGATTAGATTAGATTAACAATGCATACGAGAGAGAGAGAGAGGGGGGGAGGGTTGGAGCGCAGAATTTTCTCCTAAATTTTGACGTAATGAGTATAATGGATATAACGTAAACTGGGCTACTTAGGTAATAAGTTGATTTTTTTACTATCGCTCCACGTGTAAACCTTGCTTTTATTATAACGACAGTGATAATTGCAATTTTTTTATTCCTATTATTGCCATTGTAGTAACGGCGAGTAATTAGAGTTGAACGGTGAATTACGTTAGAGAGAAACTCACGTTTCAATGCAAATATCTTCGTCACATTTTCTCCTTTTTTACAACAAGTAAATGTACAACTGAACTTTTACAACATTATTAAATGCGTAATTTTATTATATTAGTTATTCTAATATTAATTCAATAAAGTTTAATAATCTATCTAGATGATATAACTTAATAATCAAATAATAGCGATTTCTATATAAATAATTTATATCGTCAATTTCTTTGCATCAATGAAAAATAAGATCTTTTAATATCATTGTGATATCATAGTTAACATTATGTACATTTATCAATATATATTACATGTGTATTTTATATATATATATATATATATATATATATATATATATATATGTGTGTAATGGTATACAATATTATATATATGACTATATATACTTTCAAGATCGATCAAGGGGGCTTAACACTACCAACTGCGGACAATTATCTCAACGTAACCGAACACGGCAAAGTTCTGGCCGCCTATTTGGATTACATGACGAAGGTACAAGAGCAATAATACATCGCGTTCGTTTACAGCGCGATACGTCGCATTGCTTCGAGGGCATTGAATCGAGTACAGGTGCTCGTGCACGTTTTCAGATCGGCGTGCTCTTAGGTGGCGAGGAGAATTCGACGAGGAAACAGATGCAGGAGGTAATCGACTTTGAGACAAAACTCGCAAATATTACTACTCCGCCCGAAGATCGTAGAGACGAGGAGAAGCTCTACAACCTGATGTCGTTGAATGAATTGCAACGTAAAGCACCTTTCGTACGTTCCTCTATTCGATATCGCACGCTTCTATTACGTAATATTGCAACTATTGCGAATGCAATCGGTGACTTCCTATTGTCGTAACATTCCTCCTGATTATGCTTCCTGCGTAATCGTAATATCCTGAACATGATGATTATATTCTACTGCGATATATCCTGTCTATCCTTTATCATATTTTGTCATCATATTGTGTCGTATATACTCTATCATTTCTCTTTGTCATGTCACCATATCCCTTTGATGAACGTTTGTGTACGCTTTTCCAAACAAAATGATTACCCTTTTCCGAGTAAGAATATATCAACGAAATATGTTCAATGTGTGGCTCTTTTATGTTCTAGATGTCCTGGGTGGATTACTTTCAAAATGCTACTCGCCTCGTGAACAAGAAGATCAACAGTAAAGCGATGATCGTAAATTTTGCACCGGAGTACTTTGTGAAATTGACGAGACTCGTGCAAGAATATAACAAAACGACTTCTGGGAAGATGTATGCATATACGCGAAGCACATCAGATGTGGCACACTTGCTTTGAGCGCTAAAATCCAGATTTATGATAATCTCTTCGTCAAATGAATCCTATCTCATCGAAGCTTTTAGCTTTACTGCTGAGAAGTTTTAAATAAAATGTTTAACAAACATTGTTACGAATAAATTTGTAATTAATTTTTGTTGATGAGATATTTAGTGCAAAGTTTATTAAGAAACGATATTTTGAGAGTTTTGAGAGGAAGTGCGCGATTTCTGAATCATGCTATATATACATTTGTAATTTTTTTCGATCCTATCGAAAAGGAATATTAATTTTTTTTCTTAAACCTTTTTCCGCAGAGTACTGAATAACTATTTGGTTTGGCAGACCGTAAGGTCCTTAACGGCGTCTCTCTCGAAGCCGTTCCGTGACGCTTACAAAGGCTTGAGAAAAGCTTTACTCGGTTCTGAAGGCCACGAAGAGCAATGGCGTTACTGTGTCAGTGATGTTAATAACGCTATGGGTTTCGCCATTGGCGCGATGTTTGTCAGAGAAGTTTTTCATGGCAAGAGTAAACCCATGGTTGGTGTGCATTATCGTTTGAATTTTAAAGAAAATTATATTAAGAATTATTTCTTATTTATTAATTTTTTTCTTATTGTGTAACATAAAATGAAGAAATAACAATCTTTCAAAATAGGAAATAATTTGTCGTTTCAAGATGGTGTTTATTGTTAAAAATTTCATTTAAATTTCAAGATATGTGTGAATTTAATATTAATTTTTAAATTGAAGCTATTTATGATATGTTTTATGAGATACACCTTTAAATTTAAAATAATATTAAGTGGTATTAAAATGAAATAATACCTCATTCTCTAATCGTTTTTAGGCGGAAGAGATGATCAATCAAATTCGCAAAGCATTTACGAAAAACTTGAAGAATCTAGACTGGATGGATGCAGAGACAAGAAAGTCCGCCGAAGAAAAAGCGAACGCGATCACTGACATGATCGGCTTCCCGGATTATATTCTGCAACCCAGCGATCTCGATGAACGTTACAGAGATTTGGCGATCAAGCAGTATGAATATTTCCAGAACAACTTGCGCGTTAACAAGTACAATTTGCGTAAAAGTCTTGAAAAACTTGATCAAGCGGTGAATAAGACGACTTGGATAATGACTCCGCCGACTGTGAACGCTTATTACACGCCTACCAAAAATCAGATCGTCTTCCCCGCCGGTATTCTTCAAAGTCCGTTTTACGATATGGAGAATCCAAATAGCTTAAACTTCGGCGGCATAGGCGTAGTCATGGGACATGAACTAACACACGCTTTCGATGATCAAGGTATGATTTAAAAAATAAATTTAAGCTCTATATTTTTATAGTTTTATAATAGAGAATTAGATGTATCTTGAATGATATGTAAAAGTTAATTATTGTGCTAAAAAATTTTCTTGAAATCAAAACTAAGATTTATATTTAAGTCCACTACTTAAAATAATCCACAATTGTGAACTTCTAAAATATTTTAAAGATAAAAAAATTATTTGCTCATACATCGTTAAAGATATGTATATTAATAATTTTTAATAATTTTTCTCACATTTTGTTTATATTTATTTTAACAAGAATTTTACCTTTATTTTACCTTTAATCATATATTTGATAGGTCGAGAATACGATTTGCACGGAAATCTACATCATTGGTGGAACGATGCTACGATAGAACGATTTAAAAATAGAACCGAATGCTTCGTGGAACAGTATAACCATTATCAAGTACAAGGTCGACATATAAATGGCCAACAGACGCTGGGTAATTTTATTGATTACAAATAATTGCTTATTGATGACAAGAAGTGTCAGAATTTAGACCGATCGATTGTAATATACAGGAGAGAATATCGCCGACAATGGGGGCCTTAAGGCAGCATATCACGCTTATCTCTCGATGCCTAAGAGCTACAAGGATCAACTGCCGCTACCCGGTCTCAATTTGACGCATCGTCAATTATTTTTCCTGAATTTTGCACAGGTTGTTGCATAGAATAATCACATTTGATATATATTGTTACGTCCGTGGTCCGGTCATTGACGCTCTCACTTAACGACGCGCACTCACTCGCGTTCCGCTAGGAAGTCGCGCTCGTCAATAAACACACGCCGTTTAATAAAATACGTAGGGCTTTATTCAAACTAATCAACAACAACAATTTGGCGGACATACACATCCGTAGACCACGAGTCACCGCGCCGTACTTTTTCGTAAACAAAACAACCCGTTGCCCCAGAGAGCGCTTCGCTTCTTCTGCAAACGGCAGCTAGACTCCACCCGGCCGCAGAAGACTCGCGCGGGCATAACAATATATTAAAATAATTAAAGAATTTTTAACTTTTAATTTAATAATATTTTTTCCATCAAGCGCGACGATGTCAGTCATATTAATTAAGCGAGAGATGTTTCACAGGTTTGGTGCTCCGCCATAACGTCCGAGACGGAGACTCTTCAGATGGAGAAGGATTCTCATTGTCCCCCGCGGTACAGGGTGATAGGACCACTTTCGAATCTGCCAGAATTCGCGATGGAATTTAACTGCCCTAAAGACTCGAAGATGAATCCGATAAATAAGTGCGAAGTGTGGTAACGTCGTCTGATATCTCTATCTTGACTGATTCATCGAAGACAGTTCAGTTGAACTTAATTTCCGGTATGACGGTGAAACCGTCGAGGCTCTCACGTGCCGTTGCATAAAGAGAGGTAACGTGTCGTGGAACGTGGGACTTGTTTCGGGCATCGGACTCTACGTTTTTTAATTCCTTCATATATCATCTATTTACCTTGTGAAGATAACTATTTTAAATTTTACGGATCTACCGTCGACGTATGATTTCGTCACATTTTTTTCAACGTGCGATCTCGAAAGTAGTCAGGAGATGGTGACATCTTCTCTCAGCTATGGGAAATTCATTGGCTATAATTTAAACCCAGTTTTCTCTTATCCGTTCCTACCATATTTAAAAATTATTACTTAAAATTTATAGTAATTACCTTTCTAGTAAACTCGGTTTATTACGTGTATTTTCTTCTAAATCTTAAAATTAAATACAATTCACTCAGAGTTTTCTTTGTCAGCGAGTCAAGACTTATACGAGCTACTTAGATCGCGCGAAATATGCCATATGCATTTCTAATGTCATATTTTGCAGTTTTGCAGACAGACTCTGCTGGCGCGTTTTAGACTTCTAAGAGATTTATTTTATAAAAACTACTTATTTTATGACTTATTTTATGAGCTGGACGGAATTCGGAATTTGAGATCGCGGTAACGCGACACGCGACACGCAACACACGACACTCTATTGCCCGTCAAGAGAAATATTTTTTAAATGTGCTTAATTGTGCTAAATATTTCTCTCTTATGTCACCTAGCGCATATTTAGTAAGCGAATCGGAGGTTTGACTTTTCCATTTGATGGAAAAATGGAATGACTCCGGCAAAAATTAGGTTAGCTGAAAAAAAGAAAATGAAATTAAAAAATTTTATTTTACAAAGCTGTGGATACTTAATCTTCAAAATCAGAAGTTGTCCTCGGGACTTTCTGAAAGATAATGTTGAAGAGATGAAACGAGATCTCACATATGACTTCTTTCCGACTTTATAAAGACTGGATGTTTTATTTTCCAGAAATTAATAATTTTCAATTCGATCTGTGTATTACATTTTTTTACGAGATGCAATACTACAGATATTTGTGTAAGAAACTGTGAGACACTGTTTAATCTCACGTCTACACAGAATCATCAAAGCATAAATCTATATATACTTTCTCTTCATTCTTAGTTATACAATTATGTAATATTTTAATATTGAGTATTATGTAGAGAAACTTGTTTTGTTAATGAATGCTGAACGGCGTATTTGTACATAAAATGATTTCTAGATTGAGAAGCTTATGCATCCGTTACAAGAATAATGTAAATTTTTATTTGTTAATATTAATTTTATTGTTGTGATTAATAGGAAATCTCGGTACAGCTGTGATGGATTTCAAAAGCTAAAGTTTTGTTGTGGCTCTTCCGTTGTCAAAATCAATAACATATCTTGGTACTGTATGTAATACAGAAATAATATTAATAATTTTTATGTCTCATACAATGCACAAAGTCTGTTGAGATAAAAATTTCACGTACCTTTAAATACAAAATCAATTTTAAAACTACATATATACTAAAGATGAAAATACGTATGATATAAAATATCATTGCAAAAATTGTGTGCTTCAGATTCAATGAAAATTTATTCTGCGGAGTTATAAACTACTCAAAGTTTATTCAGCAGAAATAAATTTTTTTCAATCTATCTCAATATACTTACATTTCTCAGAGATATTATTAAACTCAACGATACATGAAAGTACAGATTGATTACTTGCTGAACAATTTAAGATAAAATCGTTTTGACTTATTTTTTTCTTCTTAATAGTCTTATTCTTGAAATCTCTTTCAAAAGTAAGTAAATCATGGAATACAAATTTGAAAGTTGTAAATAGAAATATGATATTTCATTTAATGATCCACGTGACGCATCGTGTGAGTGTTCTTTTTACCTAATGCAGAATATATGTATTCTCGTTACTAAATTTTTCCAATCATATCGTGAACAGCTCCGATTGCGTTATGAATGTAATTAATATTGCAACTTGAATGAGCTTTGTTTCAAAAGAGATGCCAATCAAAATTTGATCCGTTTTAATATATGTGAGGACGAAAATAAAGATACCAATCCATGCAGCGTCGTGTCATAAAAAAAAAAAAAGTATTATAAGTAGCCAAATGTCATTGTATATGGAATAGAGTACACTTATTATCGACGCACGTAAATTTATTTAAGACTTTACAATCCCAATGATTATACGTTCGTATAAGCCGCGACAGTGGAGAGAAAATATTAATTAAACACAGTTACGCTTAACTTCTTCCTAGATTAAATGCGTTGTTCTCGTCGCGAAATGTTGTAACGATAATCCTAGAAGAGCCCACGAATCCTGACATGCGATCATCACGTACCGAAGTCACAATTGTCATAAATATATCCTCCTTTTATCTTTCCTACGAAGCAAGAAGATAAAGAAATTTTCGTTTGTCAAATTACTATTAGATTCTCTAAAAATTGTCTTAGGGCAGAAAATAATCAAACACATTACTACATTTTTATGCTCGAAGGGTGTGCGATATCTCGCGAGATAGAAAGAGAGAAAGAGGGAGAAAGAAATACTAAAATCCGTTGGATATCTACGATTAAATCTAGGATAGCTAGCGTTAAGCTCGTCGGATTTGAGAAATCGACGATAATGCGAAAGCGGGGAAAAACTTGAACAAGTACCATGGGAATAGTCTGCGATTCCTTGCGATCCGGGATTGCTCCGTTTCCCGCTCTGTCGCTCCCGCATCCCCCTTTTTTTGGAGGCTCATAGATGGTGAATTGCCAGGAAATACCAAAAAGAAGCCAAAGTTTCTTTAATTACAACGTAAGATCCATATAGGCCTTAAATATATGACGACCGATGTATAATGCATTTGTAAATGTCCGTTGTTTATAATGATTGTGAATAACGTCTTGTAACAATGAGAGGTGCATCGCATTTTCTTTCGCGATTATGAGACATTGTTGCGCGTTGTACTCGGGGACACAATCCACGTATGTGGTTTTTGTGTAACGCAGAAAAAAGTGTATCGGTCAATGACGATGTTCGCCGTGATTATTTTTCTGTATTGTATATTATGTACTATGCTTATATACATATTATTATTATTATTATTATTATTATTATTATTATTATTATTAAATCAAAATTAAAGAAACAAACCTTCACGTTGGAATTATGCTTTTGCACTATGTCTCTTTATCGAAATAGCCTTTATCGAAATATGACGTGGCACTTTAGAAAGATAATTGCATGCATTATAATATTTTTCTTTTTATTAAAATTTCTAGATATTTCCTTTAATGCAGATCTTCTTCTGAATCGATATTTGTTGAAAGAGCACGCTTAAAATGACGATAATTGATAAAAGGCAGGCCACATATCGTTCGGCATAAAATATATTTTTAATTATGTACGTAATGTACGTAATTTTATAAAGCACACTAAAAATGAGATATTGGTCCGGTTGCTCGTCTTGTTTGTTGAAAACACAGAGATAACATTGTTAATTCCGACATTCCTGGCTATCTTGTGTATTTATAGCCGCGAATGTTATATTTACCATCGATTAATTCGCACCGTGACGTTCTGAAGAAATTCTGAATTTTTCACATTTCTAGATAACAATATCGAGCCGAGTTTTCGACGCCATTCGAGTCGCGATCTCGCTTTACGACTATATGCTTTTATTACGTTCGAATCGTTATCGTTACATGTTCCCAGTAATATCGAATTATAATTCTCCTTGAATTTTCGCATGCGTTGCAATTTGTACCAGATATTTTCCAAAATACAGATGAACACGCTGACAATCACCGCCGTGGAGAATAGCCGAGTGGTTACACGAATGTGCATATATTCCACCGATTGGAAAATGTTCGATTGAAGATAATGGGATTGGCTATAAGCTTCGCTACGTAAGATCCACTTCTTCTCGAGATACGTCAATATTCCAGACGAGCGCATACGCATTAAGCTGTTAACAAAAATTCCATTAAATATAGTCCCATTTTGTATATATATATATATATATATATATATATATATATATATATAGTATAA